ATCCAGCACAATGCTTCTTTTGGACATTGGCAACCATGACACTCCCATGGCAATAATATCCAAAATATGTAGAAAATAATAAGTTTTGGGTGACCCAAATCATACCTCCACACCTCTAGGAGAGTGTCCACTATTAGACAACATTGAAATGCACCTGGACCAATACTTTCCCTGAGCACCGTTAAGGGTACATATCCACAACTATAATAGCCAATACATGTGGGAAAGAGTAAGGAGTAGGAATTTACCGCTTCCTTGAATAAAATACAGTTTTTAAATGTTTTAACAACATAAAGGTTTTCTTGTGATACTGGATATATCATTTAATTGGATATTGTATATTGGGTACTGGACATCTTAACTATAATATTAGCCAAAACAACTGATTAGGCTGAAATAGAAAATAATGTTTGAAAGGTTGCTTTGTTTGGTACATACTGTTTAAGTAGATAATGACACTTTCTCTTATTTATTGAAAAAATGTAGAAAAGAATAAAGAAACGGGGGTGTACACCCCAAAATAAGCTTTGGGCCACCACAAACCATAGACCCACACATCCAGGAGACTGTCCTCAACGAAATGGCATTGAGTCGCTCAATGCTCAATGCTTTCCTTGGGCACGATACACTATAAAAAGGCATGTACCCATGGGCTGAAGGTGTACACCCCAAATTAAGCTTTGTCACTGCAAACCACACATCCGCACAGTGTCACAGCACTGAGTCATGGCCAGTTCAATGTGAGGCCAACACCAAACACAGAACTCACAGCTAGGGTTGCTGTACTGTATCGCGAAGAGCCAAAAAAGATTACACGCTTGCCAACTTCTGCTTTTAACTATGGATTTCTGTGACTCTACCCATAAAAAAGAGGGTGCGTCCTGGGGGAAAAGAGAACATATGGCAACCCAATGGCAGGAGAACCAACCATCCCTTGCCTTTTGGGGATGGGAGGCAGTGTTGTTAACTACGTATTTTGCAGGACCCTTGCTTAAGATACCCTCCATGACCCATCCCGTCCATGTCCCTCTCACCACCTGCCCAACTCAACCAAACCTTAACCCAGGGGTTCCCAACCATGGGTCTCCAGCTGTTTGAGGACTGCAATTCCCACCATCCTTGACCACTGGTCCTGCTAGCTAAGGATGATGGGAGTTGTAGTAGAAATAAAAAAAACAACAACACCCAGCTGGAGACTCAACTTTGGGAAACACCTGCCCTGCTTAGAAAGACTCACAAGCTGTTTCTGCAGCCTACTGGATGGGGGCAGCCGTTGCCCAAAAACATATGGAAGGCGAGGCCGCGACAGTCGGGGTTCTCCAGCCTTGGTCCTCACCCCCCATGTCGTTGGACTACAATTTCCATCATCCCTAACAACTGGCTACATATTTTTGTAGACTTAACAACGTCTGGGGACCCAAGAGCTGACGGGCCTGAGAAACATCTGGCGGGAACAGCCGCGGCCTCGTCCTTCCTCCGAGCGCGCACAGTGCCTACCCCGGCGTCGCCTCAGAGAGGAAGCGGGAGAAGGACGGCAACGGCTTTCCCCCCGTCAGGTTTCAGGAGGAGGCAACGGCGTCAGAACGCCACGGTTATCCACAGCCACCGGCGGTTTTAAGTTTCCCTCACGCGGCGCGGACTACATTTCCCACCACGCACTGCGGCGCATATGCGACGGTTCTCTTTTATTTCTACCCCGCCGGGCATGCTGGGTCGCGTAGTCCGCCTACCCCGAGGCACGCTGGGTAGTGTACTCCGACCACGCCGCTTTAAGCCACGGCTGAAACAAGTGGCGGGTATTTCCTCACCCCCCTCAAGACTTCCTTTTTGAAAAGAAAGGAAAAGAAAGAACCCCACGCGCACACGGCGCTTCGCCCCCTACTAGCGCCCCCCTAAGTTGAAAGGCATGCTGGGAAATGTAGTCGCGGCTCCTTCCGTCAGCCTGCCTGGAAGTCTCGCTGAACTCAATAGGACTCGCTTCACATTAAACATGCCTAGGTCGTGCTGCCCGTCTCTAAAAAGTCTTTTTGTGCCACAGTTTTTAAATTATTATTATTATTATTATTATTATTATTATTATTATTATTAAGAATAATAATAATATTCCAAATGTGTTTTCATCACTCAGGGCTGCCTACAACCTATGGGGGGGGGACCCCAAATAGCATAAAATAAGGACATTAAGCAGCAGCAAAAAGGTGCTGAGGGCAGCGATAGACATGTTCTGCCACTGGTCCCTCAGAGGCAAAATCTTGCTCTTGGCACCTGCTGACCATGCCAACGGTGAGAAGCCGGTGACTGCCGTTCACATTGCAGAAATGCCCTTCGGATGGCTGAGTGCATTCTGCACATGTGCAGGAGCACTCTTGTGGCTGTTATTACCCACTCTGCCTCTTCTCGGGGGTTTCTGACTATCATCGTTTCGGTGGCAGGTGAAAAGGCTCCTCCTGGTTCATACTACAAAAAAAGCCCACCGAAAATGTATGAAAGGATTTAAACATACAAATGACTGCAGCACATTGAGCCTTAGAGTTTCATCCAAGTGGATTGCACATGATTCTGGAAGGGACCATAAAGGCATATGATAATGCAAGTTGACGCACAATAAAAAAAACTTGCCGCTTCCCAAGAATTAAGCCTCCCTTGCTTATAGCGAATGGAAATGGTCGTTGAAATGTACGCAAACATTTCCGCATTCGTGGCCTGGAGATAAGCTGGAGCCAGGAGCGGAAGAGCTGCCCTGATAGAACCAGTTTAGGTTGGTAGCCTTCCTGCTTTGGGGTCTGTCAGAAATACTCATTTCTCCAGAAGGAAGCTATTCATTATTAACATTTTAAAAACAATTCTGGGGCTACTTTTTCTGGGTGGGTGGGTGTGGTGCAGCTTCCAAAGCAGGAAAACAGTTCAGCAACACCAAACCATGAAAATATTATTATTCTAGATTCTGGTGTCAAACACCTCGTATTGGTTCTAGGTTTGAAATTAAGATACTGTAAGCACTGCCAGGTTTCAGAGACAGGCTCCTGACTCTTACCTGTTCTTGGCCTTCTGGCAAAGGTTGCTCCAGCAGCAAAAGGCCTATGAAATGGATTAGAGTCAACAATTCAGGACTCAATTCAATTTCATGTATACTTGCACTGGGTAATCTCTGGCCCAGGGCAGCTAACTGGGAAGGTGTGTGTTCAGGTAGGTAAGTAGGTAGGTAGGTGTTGCTTAGTGACCAGTCAGAGTGGCATGATCCTCACCGAGGTAACATCTGCTCTGATCAGCTATGTAGTTCTGAGGGAGGTTCTTCTCAGTATGTTTGATTGAATGTCTCCCTGCTTTGTACAAGGCCTGAGGTAAGAACGACAAAACCCCTCCATTCCTTCCTCTTCATATTATGTTCTGTTTCATTTAGCTTCTGCAGCAAAGTGCTATCAAGACTTTTCTCCCTTTTTTCTCATCTGCCTTAATTAAGTGGCTTTGTGAGTACTCCATCCTTTATGCAGACTGAGGTCGCAGTCCTAAGTACACTGGCTAAAGCAGGCCTGACCAGCCTTTTTCACATTCCCTGTTAGCCAACCCTCCAAGCGCTGTATGCCAGAGATTTTTGTTCTTTTCTCATTTTTCTGTTGTTTTTTGTCCCCTCTATATCACAATTGCTTTATAATTGAAATTCTTTCGATAAAATATGAATACAAAAAAAGAAGTCAATAATAGGTGTGGCCCAAACACTGGAGTCTAGATGTGGTGCAGCAGTAAAACTGCTAGCACATTACAAAGCTAAGCAGGGTCTGATATGGTTTTAACTTGGATGGGGAACCGTGTGTTCAGATTCCAGCATTGCAGGGGGTTGGATCAGATGACCCAAAGGGTCCCTTCTAACTACAATTCTTTCACTCTTTCCTCATCCTCTTTGCCTTTCACCTCCCTTTCTTTCGCTCTCACATTTATTTGTTGTTATTCACCCTCTTTCATCCCCACTTTTCTGTTCTCATATATCTTTCCTTCCTTCTTCTCTCCTAATGCTTTCTTTCCTCCCCACCAATGCCCTATATACATCCATAGCACATATTATATACATATGCACACGATTTCTACGTCCCTTTAAAAAATCTCAACAACTACAAAAATTATGCTTCCTGTGTGTGACCCACTTTAGGTCTGCATATGACGCACTTATCCCAACCTACCAGTTAAAGACTAGCAAACCAGGCGTCGTCAACATGTAGTGCCCTGAAGATGTTGGGATACAGCCTCCATCATCCCTGACTATTGGCCATGCCGGCTGAGGCAGATGGGAGCTGAGATCCAGAGCTGCTCACCTCTGAACAAGGCCATGCCAAGGCTTAAAACTACAAACCCCAAGCCCTACAAGACATAGAATCATAGAACTCAAAAGGGACCATGATGACCATCCAGTCCAACCCCCTGCAATGAAGGAATCTTTTGCCCAATGACCCTGAGATTAGAAGTCTCGTGAATGAACCACTAATAAGGGGAAGCGTTTCTGCTCATCCCTGAAAGATCACCTCCACGTTGCCTGCATGAAAAACAAAGGATGGCTTACAGATCAAGACACATGGCTTGCCTGCCAGCTTGAGCCCTTGCACATGAAACACGAAACACTGTGAAAAGGAAAGGACCCCTGGACGGTTAAGTCCAGTCAAAGGTGACTATGGGATGTGTGGCATTGCTTTCAGGCCAAGGGAGCCAGCGTTTGTCCACAGACAGCTTTCTGGGTCATGTGGCCAGCAGGACTAAACCGCTTCTGGTGCAATGGGACACCGTGATGGAAACCAGAGCGCACGGAAATGCCGTTTACCTTCCCGCCACAGCGGAACCTATTTATCTACTTGCACTGGCGTGCTTTCAAACTGCTAGGATGGCAGGAGCTGGGACAGAGCAATGGAAGCTCACTTCGTCGTGGGGATTCAAACCACCGACCTTCCGATTGGCAAGCCCAAGAGGCTCAGTGCTTTAGACCACTGCACCACCCATGTCCCTATACGAAACACTGTACTGTGCTGGCAACGTATGAGAGGGGAAGTCCCGCAAACTGCCTCCAGGGGGTGCCCTCTTCCCAAATTTGCTCTCAGCAGGAGTAGCTGGCAGGCTGGATCTCCATCCTACCAAAGGGGAGTCTCTATAGTGAGGGGAAAAGAAGCAAAATATACACAGACAAACAGCGTGTTTCTCTCTGCTGCTGACAGTTCTCTTCCCAGGACTTCATATCCCTTCCAACTGGTTCCCATCCCAGTTGTCACTAAGGGTGTCCAGCAGGCGCTGGCGTGCGAGGGCCCTCCGGAGGTGCATGCGATAGTCCTCCATCACCAAATCGTCCCAGCGCCGCAGTACGAAGTGGTTTTCGCCCAAAGTCAGTCCCGAACACAGGAGCTGGTTCCGCGTCCGGAAGTCTGACACTGTGATCAGCCACCTGTGTGTGGAGATAGGGAAGGGGGAGGCATTTGTACTGTTATTTTTTTAATAAAAACTATTTGTGGACTGCAACTTCCTTAAAACACACACACACAAATCAAGAGCTGCGTACAAAAATACACACACTGCCCGGCTTGCTCCTCTCGCCAACCCTAACAACTACAGACCCTCCGAGGGTCCCTATTTTCCAGGGACAGTCCCTGGTTTACAGAAGCCGTCCTGGTTTCCGATTTGATCCCGGAATGTCCTGCTTTTCCTTAGGACGTCCCTATTTTCATCAGAGAAATGTTGGAGGGTATGGAGTTATCCGACTCCTGAGCCTTCTGAAGGCAATCCTGTATAGAGAAGACTTTTTAAAAAATGTTCAATGTTTTTTTATGTACCGTATTTTTCGCTCTATAGGACACACTTTTCCCCCTCCAAAAATTAAGGGGAAATGTGTGTACGTCCTATGGAGCGAATGCAGGCTCCTTGGCTTCAGCGCTCCAGAGGCTGCACGTTGCTTTCGCTGAAGCCTGGAGAGCGAGAGGGGACAGTGCGCACCGCCTCCTCTCGCTCTTCCAGGCTTCAGGGATAACCGCCTGAAGCCTCCGGAACACAGTGGGAGGTCCCGCTGCGCTCCGGAGGCTTCGGGTTCCTTTTGCTGAAGCTGGGAGAGCAAGACTCTCCCGGCTTCAGCAGAGAGGGAGAGCTGCGCGGCGCCCCTTCTGCCAAGCGGGAGGAGAAATGGAAGGGGCTCTGTTTCTCCTGCCGCTTCGCTGAAGGGGCGCTGAGCAGAGAGGGGGAGATTTTTTTTTTCTTGTTCTCCCCTCTAAAACAAGGTGCGTTCTATGGTCGTGTGCATCCTATAGAGCAAAAAATGCGGTATATATATTTTGGAAGCCACCCACAATGGCTGGGGCAATCCATTCAGATGGGCAGGATATAAACAGTAAAATTGCCTAACCCATGGGTAGGCAAACTAAGGCCGGGGGCCGGATGCGGCCCAATCGCCTTCTAAATCCGGCCCACAGACGGTCCAAGAATCAGCGTGTTTTTACATGAGTAGAATGTGTGCTTTTATTTAAAATGCATCTCTGGGTTATTTGTGGGGTATAGGAATTCGTTCACCCCCCCCCAAAAAAATATAGTCCAGCCCCCCACAAAGTCTGAAGGACAGTGGACCGGCTCCCTGCTGAAAAAGTTTGCTGACCCCTGGTCTAACCTGTTCTTCCGTCCAGCCGTCCCACAGATCACATTGATGTTCTCAAACTGGATGCTGCGCAGGAGTCCTGACTCAAACGCATCTGGAATGGCTTCCTCTACTGCTGCCAGGACCTCTGCATGGTTCATCTCCTTTTCAGGCTAAAAGGCAAAGGGAGAATCCCAAGTCATCAGCTGCCATTCCATCCACTCTGACCACTCACCATGAGGTGCAGCAAGCTTCTTAAAGGAAGTCTACGAAATGTACAGCTAAGCCAGCCTTTCTTTCAGGGTCCTCAGTTACATTAAACTCTGCGCTGCACTCTTTTGCGTAAGATATTGCATTCTGGGCACCACGATTTAAGAATTGGAAGGGACCCCAAGGGTCATCTAGTCCAACCCCCTGCAATGCAGGAATCTCAACACATCCATGACAGGTGGTCATCCAGCCTCTGCTTAAAAGGAAGGAGAGTCCATATCCTCCCGAGGGAGACCATTCCACTGTCTAACAGCTCTTACTGTCAGAAAGTTCTTCTTGCTGTTTAGTCAGAATCTCCTACCTTGTAACTGGAAGCCATTGGTTTGAGTCCTACCCTCCAGGACAGAAGAAAATAAGCTTGTGACAGTCATGTGACAGCAATATTGTCTTTATTGATTTGTACCCCACCCATCTAACTGGGTTGCCCCAGCCACTCAGGGCAGCTTCCAACATACACACAGTAAAACATTCAAAAACTTCCCTAAACAGGCCTGCCCTCAGATGTCTTCTTAAAGTCAGATACAGTGGAACCTTGGTTGTCTAACGCTTCAGAAACTGAACAATTCAGAACCCGAACACCGGCAACCTGGAAGTAAATGCTTCCATTTTCAAATGATTTTCAGAAGCCGAACGTCTTCCAATGTGCATTTTTCATTTCCCCCCCCTTTGATTCTCGGTTTTTGAACTTTTCGGAAGCTGAACGGTCTTCCTGAACGGATGACGTTGAAAACTGAGGTTCCACTGTAGTTGTTTATTTCGTTGACATGTGGTGGGAGGGCGTTCCACAGGGTGGGCGCCACTACCGAGAAGGCCCTCTGCCTGGTTCCCTGTACCTTCACTTCTCACAGGGAGGGAACTGTCAAGAAGGCCCTCAGCGCTAGACCTCAGTGCCCGGGCTGAACGATGGGGGTGGAGACACTCCTTCAGGTATACAGGGCCAAGGCTGTTGAGGGCTTTAAAGGTCAGCACCAATGTACTGGAAGCCAATGGTAAGTCTTTCAGGACCAGTGTTATATGGTCTCGGCGGCCCAGAGATTCCACACCCCCAATCTGTTCCTCCCACCTCCCACCAGCCAAAGGATTCCTTCCTGAAGACTGACCGGACTCTCCAGACAGAGGCAAAGGGGCCGGGCAGCTGGTGGCTTGGGGAACTTGCGAATACACGGGATTTCCATGTCCAGTGCCTCATATTCTGCAATGATCCGCTTCAAGTATTGACGCCTGGGGAGAGGAAGTGTGGGGAAGAAGAAAGAAAGCTGAAATCTCTACACCACGCTGTTGATTGGTCTTATCTTAGCTATCTACTATATATTTTGGAAACTTGTTCATTGTGCATCGACACCTCTTAAGGAAGAGCTGTAGCTATGGTGGGGAGCAGAGGCTAGCCAGGTTTTTTTGCCCCAGGTGAAGCCTCCAGAGGGTGTGTGTGTGTGTGTACACAAATGCACATGGGGAGGTGTGCCAAACTGGATCTTTGACCCGGGTGAAATAAAGCCTAGTTTATTTGGAAATATATCCCGAGCCTTCAGTATTCTCTCCTCTAGAGGAAACCAAAGCTGGATAACCCTGTCCCTGGAAATTACATTCTTATGACCCAGGAAAACACTGACATAAATAGTACTTACGAGGTTTTACGTGGCGGGGGACAATGCTGCTCCAAGTCAAGGAACAGACAAGAGGTTCCCTCTTCACTCTCACTTTCCGGCAGAAGAAGGGCTGCAGAAGGAAAAAGAATGATAAGGATCATCATAAAAATCACATTATGTTTCCGAGCACAATTCAAAGTGTTGGTGCTGACCTTTAAAGCCCTAAATGGCCTTGGCCCTGTATACCTAAGGAGCGTCTCCACCCCCATCATCCAGCCCGGACACTGACGTCCAGCTCTGAGGGCCTTGTGGCGGTTCCCTCCCTTTGAGAAGTGAGGTTACAGGGAACCAGGCAGAGGGTCTTCTCGGTAGTGGCGCCCGCTCTGTGGAACACCCTGCCATCAGATGTCAAGGAGATAAAACAACTATCTGACTTTTAGAAGTCATCTGAAGGCAGCCCTGTTTAGGGAAGTTTATAATGTTTGATGTTTTGTTGTGTTTTTAATATTCTGTTGGGAGCTGCCCAGAGTGGCTGGGGAAACCCAGCCATATGGGCAGGGTATGTATGTATGTATGTATGTATGTATGTATGTATGTATAAATAATCAACTAAGGGATTACCATAGAGGGTTACATTAAGATGAAACAGGCAGGAGAGCCACACATATCTCTGCAAAGTCTGTAGAATAAAACGGCCTATCGTTTTATTGCTGTAAAACCCTCCTGCTATAGTCGTGCATGTGTGCATAGGCGCCGACTCCATGGGGCTTGAGGGGGCCTGAGCCCCCTCAAAAATTCGTTTGGGGGGGCTCCGCCCCCCAATAATCTCCGGCGCCCCTCCAGCAGAGCGCCATCGCCGCCCCTCCCCAGCCCAAAATGCACAGGGAGGGGCGGGCTGCATGCCTCCTGCCCTCCCTCCCGAGCAAAAGCTCCACCCAATTTCCTTTGGAGCTGATTAATAGGCGCAGCACGCTCTCCCCTATTTGCTCACGAGGAGGCGGCGCCACTTTATTTGCATATTCATGAGCTTATTTATTATTCATGAGGTTTCCCGGGCCCCCCCAATATTTTTTATAAGTCCACGTCCCTGCATGTGTGTACCTGGTTCTATAGTACGGCTATTGAGTCTCAGGGCTTGACTGAAGTTCCAGGGTTTTAGCCCCCTTCTCAGGACCACGAGGGGAAGGAGCTAAATCTGGGATTCAGGTAACCAGGCTATTTTCTCCAACACACACATACACCCTGCCCCGGCTTTATCTCCCCATTCTGTAGATCAAACCGGCTATAGCCAATATGGTGCTCTCCAAACAACTTGAACTACCATCAGCCCTGGCCTGCCCCAGTAGTATAACTCAGAGACGATGGGAACTGTGGTCCAGCAGTGCCTGGTTGGCCTCAGGTTCCCCATCCCTGCCCTAGATGCTTGCAGAATTGAGTTCCAGCATCAGCCTGAGCCTTCTCCTGCCTCGCTCCTGGCTGTGCTTCCCACCCCTCAGCTCCCTTCCTCCTCCTCCTCATTTCACTGCTACATTTTTCCTGGCATGGGTTCAAACTCTACTGTGTTTAGGACTGGATAATTATGTTAAAAGCCAGTGCTGGCAGCATCAGCATCTTCTTCCAATGGGGTGCTGCAGGGAAAAGCGGGAGGGAGAAGGAACGTGAGCAGGGCTTTGTCAGCTGAAGCCCCCAACGCTCACGGAGGCCAAGAATGGGGAAGGGCTGTGGCTTAGTGGTAGGGAATCTCGTTTCCATTTAGACTGTGCAGACCAAGTCTCCATATTTTCCAGGGACAGTCCCGGCTTTGCAGAAGCCGTCCTGGTGTTTGATTTGATCCCAGAATGTCCCACTTTCCCTGAAGACGTCCCTACTTTCATCAGAGAAATGATGGAGGTTATGTTAGAATTCCTGCTCCATGATTGCAGTCATGGGATTTTTGTCTTTCACATGACGGTGTATGTTTTGACTCCACAGAGTGGGAAGTGACGGAGACAGGATGTTTGTGTTACTGTGTTCCATGAAGTGGGACTATTGCCCTTTGTTCTTTTTCTCTTTGCTGTCTGATGCTAGAGAGGGAGGGAGCCATGTTGCAGTGCTCCGTGTGTGTTTATATGTAAATAAAGTAGATTAGCCAAAATGCTGAGTTGCTGAGGTCTGTCACGCAACGCTGCGAAGACTCTGTGGATCCCTAAGTGTGCCGGTGTCGGTTGGCATTGGTTGCTGTGATGTTCGGGCAGAAGAAAGCTTATGAAGCTCCTGAACGATCGACCAGGAGGGAGGGAACATGCCAGTAGGGCATGTGTCTCTGCCAGGGTCCTATTTGAGTGTAGGCTGAACTCCTGACAGGTTACGGAGTTATGCAACTCCTGAGCCATCTGAAGGGAAGTTTTTTGATGTTTAATGCTTTATTACGTTTTTATATATGTTGGAAGCCACCCAGAGTGGCTGGGGCAACCCAGTCAGACGGGCAGGGTATAAATAGTTGGGGAATAGGATGCCTCCTGTTTTCATCTGTGGGAGGTTATGTCTTCAAGCAGGCCTGAGGATGACCTCTGCCTGAAATCCTGGAACCTGTTGCCAGTCATTGCAGATGGCATTGGGCTAGATGGTATACAGCTGTTTCCTATGTTCCTAATAGTGGTGTTTCATGTGTCTCCTGACTCTTACTTGGCTCCCACTGGATGCCGGAACTGGAACGCAATTTAGCCCCTTCATTCTCGTCTTCTTGCATCCTAGGGAACAGGGGAAAGCAACATACGTTAAGCCTGCTTGGTAATAACCGAAATGTGACCTCCCTACTGCCCCAACACCCCCCCCCAATATGCTGTGGCTTTTGCATATGGAGAAAGAGCAGTTGTGCCTTCCACACCTTTTAGATTCTGAAATGAAGAAGGAATCTCTCAATTCCCACCCCCAAATTAATTATTGCTTTGATGTAACCAGCAGCAGTTGGCGTGCAGTGGGTTTGTTTATTTTATTTATTTCATAAAACTTACACACCGCTTGACTGTAAAAACCTCAAAGCGGTTTACACAACAGGTTGGTTAGTTTTGTGGGCAATTGCACGGCCGTCTGGAGTTTGCACTTCCAGGCAAGGAGAGAGAAGGGACTTGGTTGGGCAAAAGGTAAGGAAGACCAACAGTAGGTGGCGCCAGAGAGTGAGTGACAGGCAGAGCTAATTGATTTTCATTTTATCTCAATCTTCATCCTATACTGGTCATTTGAAACAAATGTGTTTTAAGCATGTGACACCAGAGGGCGCTGTAGAGCAATGTAAGATCATCAATGTAAAATTGCATTGAGAGCTGTATATTTCTCTTTTTTTAAGCGTTTTTACAGTCAGTGTAGATCCAGCCCCTACTGAGTTCTACAAAGGCTAAATGCAGACTAAGGAGAAGGAAGCTGACAGTCGGTTTCAGCCATCCACGGTTAGAGTTTAAGAAAGCAGGCAGGAGGTTGCTGGCAAAGGGCAGACCGGTCGAACACGCTCCCGTATCTGCCATAATAAACCACTGGGTTTCATGCCACATTTTAAATAAACAACTGCACAGATTAACTTATGGAACTCTCTGCCACAAGAGGCAGTGGTAGTCACTAAGCTTACTTGGCCTTGGAAAGGGCATTAAGGCAAGCATATGGGGAAGGAAAATATGAATAGCTGCTGGGCATGATGACTAAATGCTGGCTCTGGGATTAGAGGCACCCTGCTACAGAGTACCGGAATAATAATAATAATAATAATAATAATAATAATAATAATAATTGCTAGCTGCGCCTTTGGTCTTAGCCAGCAGGTTTCTTCTTGTGTTCTTATGTTCTCTTTTTTATTTTTTCCCTCCCCAAAGCAGCCGTGAGAAATTAGTAGGAATTATCTCATTTTACAAGGAAGAATAAGAAACTGAGATGGAAGCACACTGAGACTTTTCTGATGTTATCCCGGGCATTTCGAAGCAGCCATACATGTTGTTATTTCACATTTGGAAGGATTCGCCTGTTAAAGAAATTCGGCACAGTTTGCATTTTAAATCACGAAGCCAAACGCCCCGATTTGCACTCCCCACCCCCCTCCAAACAATAACGTGAGCCAAAATCCAGTTACCCTTTGAAAGCCTCACCTCTCCAAATTTTGTGATGCAGTCCTCCAACCGCAAAATGTGTCTGTTGGGGGAAAGCTTTCATACAAATTCAGGTATTTGCGTGACAGCGACATACAGGAATGCATTACAGTATATCAGTGGAAATCGCTTGCAAAAAAAATATATGTGTACATTGGGCAAAATTCATAACATATATAAATATGCATGTGTCTATTAAGAGAGATCTGCACTAGAATGCTGAGGAATCTGCACTGTGACTTTTTATTTTATTTTACGGTTTGTAAACCTAGGGGGAACTGGATTGAAGACTGAAAAATGAGAAAAACCAAAATGGACAGATTCATCCACTCCTGTTCTCCATATAGATCAGGGACATCATGTTGGGAGACATTTACATTGCAGGGAGGAGGATCAATTGTCATGGGGAGGGCAATCAGGGCTTGCACAGAAAGAAACCAGCTGCATGGATTGTTTTTTATTCCCAACACGTTTTGATCTGTACTCTTCCTCAGCAGGGTAATAAGGACTGTTCTAAGACAGGGTAGTAAGGACTGTTTAAACATGCTTCAAAGCAGCAGCTTAACTCAAGTCTGGCTCCTGCAATCAGGGCAAATTTACTTTGACATGTGTTCCAGTCCTTCAATCACAGGGTACTGGAGCGCCCAGTGCCCCAGTTTCCAAACCTAGCACCTCCAGTTAAAAAAAGGCTCAGATAGCATTTAGACCTCTCTGCCTGAGGGTCCCGGTTAGCCACTGCCAGTCAGAGTAGATCAGAGTTTCCCAAACTTTGGTTTCCAGCAGTTGTTTATACTACAACTCCCATCATCCATAGCTAGCATGATGGGATTTGTAGTTCCCAAAACAGCTGGAAGCCCAGATTTGGGAAACCCTGGAGCAGATCATGCTACAGGTGTGAGGAACCTTTGGACCTCCAGATGTCATTGATCCACAACTCCCATCATCCCTGTCTATTGGCCGACTGTGGCTAGAGCTGATGGGAGTTGTAGTTCAACAACTTCCCATAGCTTCTGGACTGGGCTAGCTGGACAAGCCATCGGCCGTGGAATAAGGCAGAGTCCTTGGAACGGGACAAAGGGTCTATCAAAGAACCTGATTGCTCAGTCGGTAGAGCAAGAGACTCTCAATCTCAGGGTTGTGGGTTTGAGCTTTGGAATAGATTCCTGCATTGTAGGAGGTTGGACTAGATGGTGGACTAGATCATGGTCTCTTCCAACTCTACAATTCTATGATTCTGTGAAAAGAAGATAACCACAGCAATATTGGAGCTGGGACTCAGCTACATTAGTGAAGAAAATGTGCTTTATATGAGTTACAGCACTGTGACACCAGATGGCTCTGTGGAGTCCTGTCTTTCGCCAGCGTGATTTCCCTTAATGAAGTTTACAACACGTTTCCTGAAACACTTTTTTTGATGTGTCTAGATCCAGCCTTACAGTTGATTCCCAGGTCCTTCTCTGCACAAATGGAAACCTAGAAAGGAACTGAAGTTTATATGCCCCTGCACCCCAAAATAAGCTTTAATCTATCTCAATAACACAAACATCCCATGTCCCTTTGGAGATCCGCAGTAATACTCCAGTCAAACTGGGGGTGGGCTGCAACACCAATTGGTACATGATGAGCCCAGATGGCACTTACAAAGAAGGATTGGAGGAGAGTGCACCCCATGATAAGCTTGGGGCTACCCCATAAACCTTAGTTCCTTTCAAAATGTCTACTGACTGAGCTCTTTTTTGAACTTTTGTGCAAGTACGGAACTGGGAACTAGTAACCAAATTCATAATAGTACACATAGCTAGGAAACCTGTGGCCATTGAGAGGTTAAAAAAAAGGTAAAGGTAAAGGACCCCTGACAGTTAAGTCCAGTCGTGAAAGACTCTGGGGTTGCGGCGCTCATCTTGCTTTACTGGCCAAGGGAGCGAGCGTTTGTCCGCAGACAGTTTTTCCGGGTCATGTGGCCAGCATGACTAAGCCGCTTCTGGCGAACCAGTGCAGCACACGGAAACGCCATTTACCTTCATGCCAGAGTGGTACCTATTTATCTACTTGCACTATGACGTGCTTTTGAACTGCTAGGTAGGCAGGAGATGAGACCGAGCAGCGGGAGCTCACCCCGTCGCGGGGATTCGAACCGCCAACCTGCCGATCGGCAAGCCCTAGGCTCACCATCCCTAGCTATTGGCCCTAGTGACTACAGCTGATAGGAGCAGGAATCCAACCACATCTGGAGAGGCACAAGGATCCCACACCCCTGCAGTAAACCTGCCCTCTAGCACCTGCCACCCAAACCACTCAGTCGCTCCCCAAAACAGCATGGCATCCTCTGGAATGAATAGGCTATGGAGGCAGATTCTCCCAGTTCAAGGCCTCCACAAGGCTGGCATCCCTGCCTAGCCTCCTCCAGCTAACCTTATCTTTTTTTCTGGTTTAAGAGGTTTCAGCCTTCCAGCAGGTCTACAGCAAAGATTCAAAACCAGTTCTGGGGTTCCAGAATGCTGACTCCGCTGCAAGGGAGGGGGATGTAGAAGATGGGGAGACTGCCAGCAGGTGGAGCCAGAGCCAATGGCACGCAGAGCCAGCTCATTGTCAGAAGCGAGCCCGCAGCAAATCTCACAGAGTGGGTGAAATTAATTCCTTATTAGAAATGCAGGATCCACACAGGCATACTGGGCCTAATGAGCAGGTAGGTCTTGCTCCCTCCCCCATATGAGGCAGTTGCAGAAACTAAAGTTCCCCACCTTCCCACAGCCACCTAAGTCTATTCCCCTCCAGGGTTTTTTCCAAGCAATATGAGACTATGCCAGTGTACCTGCCTTTGCTCCTTCCGCTTCATGCCTCTCCTGGTCCCGGGAGACCAGGAGGGAGGCGAGCTTGTTGCAGCAGGAGGGGAGATCCCTGTGCTCCTTCAGCAGCCTGACTCATCTCTGCCTCTTGGCCTCTCACCTTCCCTGCTTCTGTTTCTGCTTCTGGACTTTAGTTTACTGCAGATTCTCCCCGTTACCTCTTCAGTTTCCAACTCCTCCTCCCAGTCTTCTCCCTCTGACCACTCATTGACATCCTACCACCAATCCCCTGGTATTGAGCCGTCTTCCCTTGCGGGTTTCTCAGCTGCTTCCTCCCACCATTCTTCTGCATCCATCGTCCAACCAGTCAACGTTGTAGTTAGTCCTGTTGACATTTCCATTCCACCTTAAGGAACAAACATGGGATTGTCACGTGTCACATGTCTGTTTACATTCCAGCACAGTATGCTGGGAACTTCCGTTGTGTGTGTAGTTTTTGCTTTTAGCTGTTCTCACTGAGACGACATGAGAGAGAGACGACATGTTTCTTTGTCCTGATTTATGATTAATAAATCTGTAGTTGTACTATGCTTCCACAAGCCTCACGCCTATTCTGTGTGCACAGTTCGATCCGCTGATAGTGTGCCCTGGCTCTCAAACCCGGGTCGCTGATTTACGTCGGAGCAGAGGCAGGGGACTTCGCAGCGGGACGGTTGGAAGGGAATGGCCCAGCAGAGGCTTGCCTCCCGGCCCTCTGCATGTTGACAAGTCCAACCCACTGATGTAGTTAGGTTAGGCTGTGTTGTTTAGTCGTTTAGTCGTGTCCGACTCTTCATGACCCCATGGACCAGAGCACGCTAGGCACTCCTGTCTTCCACTGCCTCCCGCAGTTTGGTCAAACTCATGCTGGTAGCTTTGAGAACACTATCCAACCATCTCGTCCTCTGTCATCCCCTTCTCCTTGTGCCCTCCATCTTTCCCAACATCAGGGTCTTTTCCAGGGAGTATTTTCTTCTCATGAGGTGGCCAAAGTATTGGAGCCTCAGCTTCAGGATCTGTCCTTCCAGTGAGCACTCAGGGCTGATTTCCATCAGAATGGATAGGTGTGATCTTCTTGCAGTCCATGGGACTCTCAAGAGTCTCCTCCAGCACCATAATTCCAAAGCATCAATTCTTCGGCAATCAGCCTCCTTTATGGTCCAGCTCTCACTTCCATTAGGTTAGGCTATGTAGACTTAAATATCTTACAGGAGAGAGGCTCTTCAGAGGATGCTGAATCTTCCTTTGCTTACTTCAGAATGAGGCAAGCCAGCCCCACTGCATTTGGGGGTCCACCAGCTCATTCTGCTTAGTGGAGTCTGGGACCTTCCCTCTTTCGGTAGCACACACAGCCAGCAAAGCCCTTCAGTGAACCACATGCAAGGTAAATGCCATTCCCTGTCCTACCATTAACAAGAAAACTGCAGCGGTTTTAATTAAGTTGCCTCTTTGGAAGGGTCTCTAGCTCTGCAGCATCTCTCCCATTTATGCTGAGATGCATAATAGACAGAGAGCTATTCGGAGACCCCGGTAATATTTGCAGTTCCATTTGCCAATCACCTTGTTGCAGAGTGCCAAAGATTAGCTAGCAGCCTGGGAAAAGAATTAAGTTGCTGAAAGTCCCGAGGAGTGAATTGCTTTTCCAAATAGCCATTAAAATGTGTTTCAGAGCACTTAGTTGTTTTCATAATGGTTTTTTCGGGATATTCCCCAAAAGCCCTCCACCCCCATCCAAAAGATTGCCCTTCCCAATGTTCTGTGACCTTGAAATGCATTGAGATGGCCAGGGAGACTGACCCAATACCTTCATATAGGGATTGGGAGTAAATCTGTTTCAGATCGCATTCATAAGTGATCCTACCTAATTCACACTTTGCATACCGAAATGGTACAGTGGTACCTCTGGTTAAGAACTTAATTAGTTCTGGAGGTCCGATCTTAACCTGAAACTGTTCTTAACCTGAGGTACCACTTTAGCTAATGGGGCCTCCTGCTGCCGCTGTGCGATTTCTGTTCTCATCCTGAAGCAAAGTTCTTAACCCGAGGTACTATTTCTGGGTTAGTGGAGTCTATAACCTGAAGCGTCTGTAACCCGAGGTACCACTGTATTTGAAATTTGCACTTCTCTGAATTTTGCAATTCAGATCTCTAGGCAAGTAATGTGTACCAAAAAAAAATCATATGCTAGGGCACTAGTCTCTGGCCATTTCAGACCCACTTTTAACCCAAACAGGCACTTAGGGTTCCATGTCTTAATCTTTTACCATATATTTGCATGGTGGTAGTGCTCCTGTTGCAATCCACCTTGGATGAGGCCATGACCCCTACTAGTGGGTCTCGAGCTACAAGCTGAAGTCCAGTGTACCAGGGACAGTGGGCTTAAACATGCATATACTGGCATACTACCCTGAACATGCCTTATCTCATCTGACCTCAGAAGCTAAGCAGGGTTAGGCCTGGTTAGTACTTGGATGGGAGACCGCCTGGGAATTCTGGGTGCCATTGGCTTGAGCTTGAGATAGCTCAGTCAGTAGAGCATGAGATTATTAATCTCAGGGTTGTGGGTTTGAGCCCCACCTTGGGCAAGAGATTTCTGCATTGCAGGGGGTTGGACTAGATGACCCTCAGGTTCCCTTCCAACTCTACAGTTCTATAATTAGTAAATATATAACGAGTTTCATATATACATATATGAAAATACATAATATAAGGAGAAATTGTTTGATAACATTAATATAA